ATTCACCATGTGACCACTCAGTAAAATATTACTGGTAAGTCCAGAAACCATTGTCATAACAGCAATCACTCATCTGATTGCTGTAACAACAATGCTTTTACTGCAGTCTGGTGCAGTCACGGTGGGGACGGCATGAACTTTCAAAACTACAGCTAATAGCTACAATGTTGGCTCTGAACAACTCAACCCACCAAAACAAAAGGCCATCAAAGTTCAGGACAACGATGCTAGAAACAGATTTACGTGGAGAAGTTCTGCACATAAATCAGAGCAAGCGCTCTCAATTCTCAAAGTAGTGCTAATAACTGAAGACCTGGAGCTAAAAATTGAGTAGTATTTGGAACTGTTCTGAATTTTATCCACCTGTCAAATAGTTTAGTTTTATTTGAAGAAAGTGTCTGTGGCCACAGTTTTCTTTCGATGATGCCCTATCTTGTGTCCTCCCCACCCCAAACTTAACGTTTTGAAATGTAATAAGTTATAGTTCATGTTATTGGAACACAACATATTGTTCCACAAGGCTTTGGCAGCTTCTAGCCACGGTGTTTTTTCTCTTATAGGTTTTCTCTTATATGCACTCTTTCAGGCAGCTGATCAGTAGTGCACAGTATCAGGTGGGGAGGGGGAAGTGGTGCCCTACACTATGCCCATACAAGAGAATCCATTGGACACCTCAGCCCTTTCTGTGGCATCTAATTAAAACAGTGGGAATGATGATGTGAAAAAAATATATACCTTCATAGTGACCCATGTTTTCCTCCTCTTGAGCTACCACCGTGTCATTATTCCAAGAAAACTGTTTTTAGATTCCATGTAGTTAAATTGATAAAACAGATCAATTTCTTGCAAAAATTGATCTGTTGAGAGCAAGCTTTTAAAGACAGGGCTCTTGAAAAAGTACAACTGATAATCATGGGCACAGCCATTACTGGCATTCACTCAAAACTCTTTTGTGTAAAAACAGACTGTGGTGAATTCTGCAAAGACGAAACCCGATTTCTGTTGCTTTACCTGGGTGTGCCACAAGCTTGCAAAAAAAGAAAAAAAAAAGAAAATGTAATCAAATCACATTCAGCAACCTTTACAACATGTTGCATACTATTTTTTTTTTTTTGCAACCAGAGGGATCAGATGTGGATTTTATGTAAATACATGCATGGTGATTGAGTATACAGAGAACCTAATGTATCATGGAACTTTGAAGTGCGAACTTTGTCATAATGGATGCAGAAATAACTGTTTCATTCTATGTTGCAATATTTCTTCTTTTTTTTCCCCCAGTATGAGAAATGCTCCCGTCGGACGCAAAGGGTTAAAAATATACAACTAAAAGAAATAAACAGCATGAAGGAACCTTCTTTCTGAAAGAAAGGTGGCTTTTAGATTTTTGTTTCTTCATTCTGTTAATTGCATTCGACTGCATGGACAGCCAATTCTATTGATCTTAGCACAGGCTGAAATTGGCTAATTATTTTAGCTTGGATAGCAGTGGGGATGCGTGACCAGACACGGACAGAACGACGACGACTCTTAAAAATCACTCCATCGCTGACTGAGACGTCCAATTGAGGCATGTGTCAGCGCCCTTTACTAAACATGAGTACATTAAATTATTAAATGCTGGGGAAGAATCGTGAGCTGTGTTACTTTGGTATGCATGTAAACCAAAAGCTGCTGGTTGGACCAGCGGCAGACTTAAAAGATCACTGTGAGGATCAATTCATTTGGTAATTTGGGTCAACCTGTTTGGGTCACTTTAAATGTGCACACAAATTACCTTGTGAAGAGACGCAGCATGCAAAGAAAGACAATGCTTTATGTTTTCAAATCTTGTTAGAAATCAAACACAAAAAAAAATCGAATGTAATTTTCTACTAAGCTGATTTTGAGATCATTGGTTTTTAATAGATTTGTAAATAAAGAAGAAAAATACAATCTGTGGCCGATTTTAGTCTGTGTTTAAACTAAACCGTACTACTTAATACTTTTATCTTTATGTGACACTACACCCCATGTCCTGTGACCTTACTGCTATTACACTTGAATTTCCACACTGTGGAACAATATTTATATTCTATTCTATTTTATTCTATTATATTCTAGAGTTCTGAGTTTGAGGGAATAGATGGAAGTTGGGCAATTCCAGTCTCTAGCTAGGTTTTCAGTGAATTTCTGGATCAAAGATGGCCTTCCCGTAACATCAAATTACTGTATTTATTTTCAGTCTCCCCATGTTCTTCTATGTGCTCAGAAAAGTGCCTTTGAGAACTCGGTGCTGTCTCTGAGCAAAACTTGCTAAAAAGTTCTAAATTACCACCATTCGTTTTGGCTGCTTGGTGCTTTCCTTTGTTTTAATGGCAGAACTTGCTGGGCACAGCGGGACGGAAATGGCTTGGTGTCCATCACTGTGTCAGAATGGAATAAAGCTGTGATGCACTCTGGCCTTGAGCCACAGGGTGAGTCAGGCGATTAGACACACACACGCACGCACGCATACACACGCATACACACGCATTTTTGTAGTGTAAGGTCAATATAAAACAACCACAGTTGAGTCAAAGCCTGCGTTCGTGATCTGCCATTGAAGTGAGACTAAGTGAAATAACAACAACTTGGTTTTTTTAACATACAAAAGGAGGCAGCAATTATAATTGTGTTCTCAGCAATCACACCCAGCTGCTCTACACATTATATGCTTGTATGGAAAATATTTATTTGAAAATAATAATTATTTATAAAGAAATATTCCTCTTTTATGGCTGTTACCGTGTTCATGCTTACAGTGTGAGGGGTGGAGCAAAACCAACTCTCCTTCTGCGTGCTATCTTTTGCTCTTTTTCTGTCTTCCTTTTGTCGGCACAGAACATGTTTTGCTTGGAAGGAAAACCTTAAGACGTAAAATAAAAAAAGGAAAAACCAAGAAGAGCAAGTCCAGATGTGAGGCTGGTGTGACCTGGAAGTCAGCAGGGTTTGTGTTCAGTCATGTAGTCTCGGGCACTTGCTGAGGTGATGCACCTTTTTTTTTTTTTGTTGTTTATTCTGCTGGCAAATGTTTCATAGGAGAAAGAGCACACGAGTGAATAAAAGCAATTTCAAAAACATAAATGCGCATGTGAAAAAGGGCAGAGATGAGATACGACTCCCACTGCCAATGTGTTAGTAGTGGAACATTGCCGCCCAGCCTGGTTTTGTGTTTAATCACTTTATGACTCATATGCCATCTATGATCCCTATGAGGATGTTTACCATAAGGAAACTTTCACCGCGAAGCAAACGCAAAAACTGATACACATCTGAGTGTCCGTGTCAGGAAAAGGGAAAAAATAAACTCTTTGCCTCGTAGCACAAAAAAAAATATATCTATATATATATATATATATATATATATATATATATATATATATATATATATATAGATATGCAGACGAGTGAAAATGAAACATGCTTTACAGAGCCATGCCTCTCATTTCCATCTGGAAATCAAAATCAATTATTTAAAGCCGTACAGTTACTGATAGTTGCAGTTCTTGATTTTAAACAAAACGTGTGCCTTCTCACCCCACAGGTTTTCAATAGGTCTGGAAACTGAGAATGCCTCCATAGGAGGCTGAGTGTGTGTCTGCTGATCCATTTCTGTGTGGTTTTGTATCAAGATCCCATGAAAAAAAAAAAAAAATATATATATATATATATATAACCCACTTTCAGTGGTAACCAGTTTGTATTTAAAATATCTTGGTGTTTAAAAAAAAAAAAAAAAAAAACGCATACACACATTATGACAATCTTGTACACACTAAGAAAGTTCCAAGAAGGCTTTGAATGAGCAATAGGCCCACAGCATCACAGATCCTTTACCGCACCTAACAGTATGCAGCACGTGGTCCTTTTTCCTCACGTACTTTGTCTTATGCCAGTCTTTTCTGGGGTGTTATGAATTACTAAATAAAAAGTTCTTCAGTTTTAAAAAGACAAAAGAAAAAAAAAAAAAAAAAAAAAAAAAATGTTACCGTGTCCGTATTAATACCGCATACACGATTTTGGTATGTTAAAAGTATCCTGTTCAGGCTCAAGGCTTTATTGATTGACAGTACCATCATTTACTGTATTTCATTAGTGAATACATTATCTATATATGTGCATACATTCAGGATATTAAAATGTTTAGCAGCCTAACACAGAATAAATGTTTTGTTGAAAGCCGAAAGATAGTTTTTGATATTGTAATTACTATAAATGTCAAATATGAATTCTGTGTTAATCAGTGGATTGACGGACACAATCTAAAGAGCAGCTAATCAACGTACTCTCAAAAATGTGCCGACATTTTAGTCTTCACTAGGCTTGTAAATACTCTATGGAAAATGTTGTCTCTCCATTGCATATACAAATACATTTTTTTTATTTAGTTTTGCTGACTGAGGCCAGACCATAACATACATTAAATCTGTGGCGGTTTTAAGGGGAGTATGAAAGTAATTGCTTAACCAGTTAGGCTTGTATTTTGTTATTAACTGCTTTATTCTTTCATGTAAGCGGTTATTGATCTATTGCCTGCAGTAATAGATGCTGTGAATGAACTTTGCAAGCGGTGCCGGGGACAGTGACGGCACCAAACCGTTTCTATCCGTGTGAACAAAAGACCCAACTCCGGGGGATCAAAAGAGACTCCTGCAAATTGCACTCGCCACTTAATTTGGAGAGCTGAAATTATTCTTTTTAGAAAAATCAAAGCTTTTCAGAAGAACCAGCAGTTTCCTAAGGCCTGAATCTATCGTACCGTTTTCCTTTTGAGAACATTGAGCACACGTTGGGAGAATATTCAATTATACAACCGCCTAATATCGAAAGATTCTACATCGCAAGTAGGTTTTTTTTTTTTTTTCTTGTCGTTTTTGAGAAACAGACATTTGCAAAGACTTATGCCAATATCTCCTCCACGAATTTTGCATTTTTAGTTTTTTTTTTTTTTTTCCAAAACCTTTGTGACGGAGACTTAAGCCACAGCGAGTAACCGCATCATTTGTCAGTAGTTGTTTTTCTTTTAGAGTAAAAAGTCTGGATGCAAGGTGTTAGACGGGCGTTGGGTTTTTGATAGTCAATCAACAAGTCACCTTTTTCTCAATCTCTTTCTCTTACAGCTTGCCACCATACATTTGTCATTTCTCTGCCTCCTCCAGCTCTGTCCCTCCATTTTCTTCTCACACGCTCACTTTCTCTTATGTAAGTACTTCTCATTAATCACAGCCTGGCTCCAACTACTAAGACCTGTATGGATTTTTGTCAAATTGCTTCTGCCACATAAATCTAGTACATATAAATTTGTGTGCATTCAACTCTCAACTGATGTGTGATTAATGGTTGAGAGTACATTCGCCCGTTGCACTGCAGTTTGTTTGGCCTCACAACTAGCGAGCGTTCATACCTCATGCTTGGCGAAGGATCACATCATTGGCTTATTTGTTGCTGCAAGTCATTGTGGGAAATCTATCATACAGTGGCAGGGGTCATGGGGAGTCTGGTGGTTAATAACAGCCGACCTGGGTGCACTGAAAAGAGATCAGTCAAACCTCCACTCTGTGGATCCACTCGTTGATTTTTCTCCTCATTGCCAAGTTTACATGTAGCTAAGTAAATATGTAAAAGTGAAAGTGACTTGCTAGTTATTTAGCTGAGGATAAGTGCTTATAGACATTTTTATGAAAATTGAAATGCTACTTTTACAACGTCAAAATTGTTTTGGATTTATTTATTTATTTATTTATTTATTTATTTATTTATTGCCATGTTTCTGACCCACATACAAGATTAGTGTAAGGACACAAGAGGAAAAGTTCATTGACAACAATAACAATGATTAATGTGATGATCTTGATCTGACCGGATCTGGAGATGGGTTGGGGGCGGGGGAGCAGGAGCACTTTGAGGATGAGGGCGAGAGCTGAGCGAGAAAGATGAATGTGTAAATATTGCATATGTACTGAGAGCAGAAGCTTAGCAATAGATGTAAGTGGATGAACACGAGGGAGGAGAAGTGAAACCCAGGGTATCGGTCTGTGTGGAGGTCTGGAATGAGTAAATCTGCGGAGAGTGTGGAAGTTCTTGAAGCAGGGTGACCGGTTAGCGCGTCGGAAGGTGGACAGGTGTGAATGAAGGAGATTTACCTTAAAAGTGAGCACAAGTCAATGTTGGTTTACGACACATATGCAAAACTCGATACGGGTTGGAAGTGCTGCACATGACACCCAAGTGTCAGATTTTTATGGTTTGACATGTTGCCTAACATTTAAAAAATTAGCTAAAAATATAGCCATGGCTAATCTTTCATCCTTAAGGCAAAATACTTTTTTATTGTACAGTGTGTGCTTCCCACTGCAAAGCAAAGGTCATAAATCCATGCAAAAGTGCCTTTTGAAAATAAGATTTAAGAAAATACTAAACGCCCAAGTTTTTGTTTTTAAAATTAGGGTTTTCTTTTTTTTTTTCTTTTTTTTTAAATTGGTTTGATGTAATTTTAAATGTTGCGTGTTAATTACCTGTTGGAACCTCCCCAATTAAAAGAAACAAAGGTGTTAAAAACATCAGTCTTTGTCTGTTTAGCCTGTATAACGTTTTTCATTTGGTGATGGAGTTATTGCATAAAGGAAGGCCGAAAACCAATCACCGTTTTAAGATAATGCTAGTACCGAAGAAAAATAAGCCTGAAGACTCAGCGCACCTGGTACACTGACATTAAGGAGGACCCTCAAGGAGTCTCTCAAGTCTGTTTCCATGGATGATGATCAAGATGAGGTCATCCAGCAACAAGCCGTGTTTTTCTTTTGATCATCACTTGAGTCGTTTGAATGAGATGGAAAGAGGTCTTCTTTTGATATAAATACTAAGTAGCAAAAGAAAAAATAAAGCCCCCCGAAAAGAGCATTTTATTATAGCTTGAATTACTTCTATATCCACTTAACAAACCCGTCCTTCTGTATCTGCAGCTAGACCTGTAATCTAACAATTACTTAATTAGATAAGCTCAGTAAATTCCATACAACCGCAACAACTGTAATCCCATAACAAATGTATTCTGAAATATTATCTGGAAATGTTGACGTTGGCTCGCAACGTGCGATCACAGGTGGAATCTTTACGGCGCGTGTGTCCATTTCCACCGCAAAGGCAATAAAATTACCTGCAACGACAGCGGCCTCGGGGGTGCAATCGCTGGGAAAAAAACAAACCGCAGAGAGAATTTATGTGATCACAATTAAATCAGCGTTATTGCAGGAGTTTCCTCATGAACTTGTTTATTTGTTCCTACCCTAACACATAAAAAAAAAAAAAAAGAAAAAAAAACTTGGCTCTTACTCCCTTTGTGCATTCATAAAATAAACATGAAATAGAAATCAATTTAACAAAGCCCTAACTGCTATTCCTCGGATGCCATTTCCCACGGTTGTGCGGGAAAATAAAATTTAAAGACAATAAAAACGTCATAAATTGTGGATATCAAACGGTTTCCTCCAAGGTTTATGGTCGAATTCCCCGTGCTGATGTGATTTTTAAATCGTTATTTCACACCAGTGAGCATGAAAAGGAATTAGAATTTATATTACAGTGGCATGCTTTGTGTTTGATACTATAGAGGTGATCAATGATTTCATTAATTAGCTCCACATATTTGAGCTTTGGGAACAGTATTTTTTTTTTTATATCCTTTCTACCCACCATGTGCTCTGTGCTCTATCAAAGCTGCTTCCATCTTATCGTCCTACCCTCCAAGTTTTATAAGCCTGTCAGCCCCAAATCCATCAGATATAGGTCGGATCAAACGTTTGCCTACACTCATCCTTAATACGACTATCATAATAATTTGAGTGTGTGTTTTTTTTTGTTTGTTTGTTTGTTTTGTTTTGTTTTTTTGGACTGTTCTTTTTGTGGCATGACTTATAATCCGACAACCAACCAACTTTAAAAGGTAATGCAGCTTTTTCTCCAGCCCTCAGAGGGACATAACTATTCATACAGGCTCAATATTACATACAGATACACAAAGACACTTCCACTGATATTTTGGTGCATGTTCCTTTGCAACTTGCAGAGAGACCAAATCCTTTTTTTCAGATACTTATGCACTAGCTTCTCATTTGTTCAACAATCATCCTGACAACCACATCCCATTGATACTGGGAAGTAAAGCGGGCAGCCATTGTCTTCAAGGAAGAAATGTAGCCAGAAAAAAAAAAAAAAAATCCTGATCACTTATACATTAGTGAAATAATCAAAGGAATAAAGAAAACAGCAACTGTGGAACTCAAGGCTAAGTTTACTAGTAAAATAAGACAATGTGAAGGGAACTTGAGGGATAGGGACTGAACAGCTGTGTAGTCATAAGAAAACCACTAATCAGTCAGGCTAGCTGGAGAAAAATCCTTCAATTTACAAGTTAGCGAGATGTTTGGACTCTGGAGCAATTGAAGCAATTGATGAGTCCAGATTTACGCCGTTCTACCAGAGTGATTGGCACATCATGCAACGTCATGAGGTCAACTGTCTATAAGACGGTCTTTCAAATTGCAATGACAACACTGACCTCTGTTGATCCGTTTCTTCCCACTCAAGTAGATTTCCCCGTTTTTATAGCTACAGTTGCCCAAATACGTAGAATATTTTTCTGAAACGCTCAAAATGTGCATTGGTAGCTAAGTGCTCAAAAGAAGATCGGAACATTGAGTAATAACTGAAATGCTGTCAGGTGTTCAACAGGAAGGACAATCATCTGAAATCTCTAGATTTATAATCAATACAGTCACGTGTGCTGCACCAACAGAGGTTTATAGCTAAACTTCTACATTTGTTTTAGATCAGGCAGAACTTTAAAAATTATCTATAAAAAAAAATAAAAAGCATCGGAGGCAACTGAAAAAATGGATGCGAAAAGCACAAAAACATCCAGTGGAACGACAAAAATAACTTTTGAAATTCTACAAGTTTTATGAAAGAAATTTTTCCACAGAGCTTTTCCTTAGTTTGCTTTTCTGTCTTTTTTTTCTGTTTTGATTTGTTGTTTAGCAAGGTGATAATAAATAACAGGGTGATTTATCCGCCATCACTGACTCCTGGCAGTGTAAATCAAACATTACAGACCCTGCAAGAGATTACTCATGACACTTAATTGCAGTAGGTACTCATGCCTAGCATCTAACAAAGTGGATGCAAAACCAATCAACTCATTTTGCTTTGTCAATTTTGTGCCCCAGACAATTAGTTTCTAAAAAAAAAAAAAAAAAAAAGGGTAAAACTTAATAGGAGAATCCAACTGTGTACACATTTTACTGGCTGATTGCTTATTACAGCAGATGTTTATTATAATTTAATATTTGAATATTATTCAAATAAGGAACAATGTGACCACCAAAAGGCAGAAGTAGTGATAGAAACATAGAAACTCAAATTAAGAATCACTGAGTGACGATTTTCTTGGCATTCTGAAAGCAGTAACTTGGAAACCTAACAAAGCGACACCCCGTCCGAAAAACTAAGGGCTCTTTGTGGTGAGCTCAATTTGCCTATAATTTACCACATATCTCCATTACTCCAGGATCATCGTTTTACAAATATGGTCGTCACTTTATGTTAGAGCGGCATGGCTATAAAGTTTTTGTTATCAAATGGTGCTCTCAAAAATTACTCGTCTGCTCTGAAAAATGATTGGACACCTAATTACGATATATTTACGTTTGGTGCTTTCAGTGTTTATCATTTTTATGGCCCTGAAATATGAGGATATTTGCATGTTAAATTACACAAATTGGAATCACTTGGTGCCCCCGAAACTTTAATTTTGGTGGTTATTACATTTTTTTAAAATTAATTTTCATAAATGTGGGAGTGACTTCCTAAGAAATAAGGAGCCTTTAAAAATAATAAATAAAAAAAAAAAAAAAAAAGTGACATGTCCTATTCCAACAGAGTGGGCTGAGAGTCTTTCTCCATGGTTGCTATACTCTTCTGTCGCCACTAGGACTGAACCATCCCGCCCCTCAAACACACACACACACACACACGCTCACACTTCTCGAGTTAATGAGTGCATCAAGTCATATTTGCATCCCGCTTCGTATTCTCATTATCTGGCATTCATTATATTTAGCTGCTGTTTTATTTATATATATATATATGATATATATATATATATATATATAAAGCTCACAACAGTTGATTGGTATGCATTGCCTAAACATTAATTACATTCACATTCATTCTAATTTGTCTTAATTCACCCTCTTTCCACCAAAAGAAAAGAATGCTACCCGCTGATTATCCCGCAGCAAGCAAATTCAGAATTCTCCAAAATGAACCTGAAGATGAGCCGAAACCATTTGCATATCAACAGGATGCAATCTTGCTGAGAAGTGACATCTATTCCGGATCAAATATGAGAAAACAAATAATTGTCACATTTTTTGCATTTGTGCAATCTAGATGTAAGCAACAGTTCCTGACTTGTGCTAAAAAAAAAAAAAGAAAAATCTTTTATTCCCCCCAAATTAAAAATGTGTAGCATACATATACATGATACCATTATTAGTCTTAAGCTGTGGGAGACGCTGCAGTATGCTGTGAACCAGAGTATGTGGAATTGATTAGAATGAATCTGTAATTACCTAGCTGGTAATCACCTCATACATCAACTGAGACCCACATGGAAAATTGGAAATCAATACTAAAATATAGATGAGGGTAGATTTTTTTTTTTTTTGCATTCACCCCAGCAAAAGCACAGTATGAGAACATAAACATATACATCACACAGAGGAAGATGAGTTTGGGAATTACCTTTCAACGGGGTTCCCTGAATAGCAGAGGAGGAAAAACTGTCTGACTTCCACTGCAGCATTTAAATCGGTCTTCTTGATTTACGAGAACTATTTTCAAAAGTCATTACAAAATATGTAATATCGAAGCACAGCAGTACTGCACATTTTCCACGTAACTAGTATTTACACCGTCACCCGCAGTCACATTACCAGTTGTATTTATTCATTTCTTTTTCTGTTCATGGGTGCTTCTAACTGAATTCAGATCCTTGTTATTTCCAGGCAAAACTCTTGACAGCGAGAAACACAATTCTGGAGGAATCCACTAAACCCACATACCTTGCTGGAGAACGCTCTTCGGATCGCTGGATCCTAAGAGTGTCAAATGTCTTTTCTGCTGGAAGTAGCCATCAGAAGACGACCCTACGCTGTGGACATAAAAGGCTCGATCCGGTCAGCAATGATACTTGGGGCAGTGGGGGGGGGGGGCGGTATCTTCTGCTTCACAAAACACCCCATGCCGGGTCTTCCCCACTCGCCCCTTCCAGTCTAGTGGCAGCAGCAGTTAGCATACACCTGGTACAACTGTGTGTCTCAGTCCAACACTCCTGAGAACGGTTGTCGACGATGAGAAGCATTGTTGTGACGACGTGCTGAAAATGGAGTGTCGGAAAGACTGGGAGCTATTCGAGAAGTGTCAAATTACAAAGTCATGTTTGTTGTGTACAGCATTTTTATAACAGCTAAAGGTAACGTAATCACTTGTTTGTGCTCTGAAAAGGCACCGACTTCCAATGTCCCTTTAAAAGACGGGATTTTTGCAAAGTCAGCCACCACACTTCTATTTGTAGGGCAGTTTTAAGTGAGAGTTTTCACAATGAATGACCGTTTGAAGGTCATGCCACAGAATCACAGTCAAATTTAAGCCCAGACTTTGACTAGGCCACTTCATATAATATTTTCCCAAATGTATGTTTTCAATCAGCAGTCGTTTTGTCTTGGATGCCATTTTTTTCCATGTCTCTTGAATTGAAATGCGTTTTCGATTCAAACTCATTATTGAATCGAAAAACACTGACCCTCGGCAAGTGGACCCGAGGGCTCCAGATGTTTTTCTGAGCTTCTTGTGACGTACATAAATTGTTGAAGTACCGCTGGAGTAATTTTGAAAGGCCTGGCCATTCACTGAAAAGGTACAACACTGCTCCATATTTTATGTGTTTATGGATTATGAATCTCACTGTGCTTTCTTAGAAATGTCTTAGTAGACCCTTTCACTGGTAGATGTCAATGAATTTTGTCTTAATTTTTATAGGGACTTGATAAGTTTCTTTTTCATATCTTTTAGCCTACTTTATGTTAGATATTTGGTTGAATGTTTTTGATTACACAGGTCCAACAGTAATTACACCTGGCTGTGGCTAGTACAACTCATACAAAATTGCATTAAAAAGTTGCATTAATAATAAAAAAAAACACACACACACAGCAAGACACCGAAGCAGCGAAAGAATTGCACGCAACAGTTTTAACATATTATATTTTAATTTCTGCAGAGACAAAAATGACAAGCAATTTATTTACACAAACCTGTACAAAAGCAAATTAAATTATGTAAAATATCTCATAAATAGAAGTGGACTTGCGTTCAATACACTTTGCCATGTTCAGCTAAGCTGCGTGCATAGTGACTCATATTAAACGATGATAAATTTGTTCCTCAAATTTCTCTACATCAACATCCATGTTGCAGGACAAATAGTAATGGGTAATATTACAAATCTCTTTACACGCATGTGAATGTTTTTTTTTTTTTTTTTTCGTTTTTCTTTTGTTTTCAGTAGAGACGAGAGCACCCTCCGAACGCACACCTCAGGAAGGCAAGTTTCACACTTTCTGTCACATGTTAAAGAATCGCAGCACCTGCTCTCATGTGGGGTTCGGTGTCCATCGCCTTGGTGTATCAAAGAGAGAGAAAGAGAGAGAGAGAGAGAGAGAGAAAGAAACAACCCGTTGAGCCTATCATTTCTCAGAAAAGATGTAGAGTAGATTGTGTTCGATGTCGTTGTTCTTGTAAGGCAATCTTTCTTTCATGTCTTTTCGTTTACACCCTGTAAGAGTCTCTGTTCCCACTTTATCTGATGTTGAAATAGAAAAAAAAAAGAGAAAGGCATCACTTTGCAACATCATAGGGAACCCTGCAGCATACTCATTTGTAGATCAGGGTTTCCTTACCACAATCTCTAGATATGCAAACTCTGTAACTCTGTGCCTGTACTTTTTCCTCACAACACGTCCTGAGGTGTGCATTCTGGCAGGGCAATTCTTCCCCCCCCCCATCTTCCTATCTATGCCTCCTAGTAAACTGTCACATTTGCATTTTTATCTCCCCACGACTTTTGAGCAGTCAAATGTCTTTTATTTTTTTCGTTTTTTTTTTTTCCTTCCCAGCTATCTCTATCTTTCAGGGCTTTTGTTTCATGCACAAAAAAGGTTACTTGACCTCTGTTGTCACAGATGTACATGAGCGGAACACGACCAAAATAAAAAAATAAAAAAAATCCAATAGATCATTTCCACCAACAAGCAACTTTTCACCTGTACCTGGATTCATTCAGTAATGCACAAAGGATGCACTAGGAAATTGGTATTTCAACAAGATAACTGACCCCCAGTGAGGAGAAATCATTTAAATTATTAGACCTTACAGGCTCACTGACATTTGACTAGTCATCCTTTCAAAAGCAAAAAAAAAAATAAAAAATAAAAAATCTTTGACATCATGGGATTTCATCTAATATGCAGATGACTTTCAGTGCTTAAATGCCAACCCCATCTACTAGTCAGTGTGATCATTCCTGCACCGTTTCAGACCAACATTTAATCATACCAATTGGTATAAAAAGGCACAATTGCATATTTGCATTCACTCAGTTTTTTTTTTTTTTGTTTTGTTTTTTTTGTCCCCTTTTTTTCAGAAGCACTCTAAATATACAAAGTGGCGCCAAATAAAGGAGGAAAACAAAAAAAAAAGTGAAACACAGTACATCGTCATGATCATTTCCACAATTTTATCTGCAACTGTGTGACATTGGAAGTGACTAAAACAATAAAAAATACATGAGAAATTGACTATCCTAATGGTATACAGCCGATACAAAAGAAAACAAATCATTTAAAGTATATGTGACATGAGGCGATGATAAAACTTGGTAATGGGTGGAGAAAAAAAAATCAAAATCAACAGTTCAGTCTTGATTAGTGTACAAAGTCGCATTACATGGGTAAAATGCAAGCAACAAGATGGGCTTCTGTTTACAAGAGAAACTTTTTTTTGTCTGTTTTTTTATACATTTTCTTTTACAGTTTTTATTTATTTATTTATTTTCATCGTCTGTCCTCTGTAAGTGAAGTAAGTTGCCATTAAACGTGCAGTAAAAAGTAAATATTCATGTATACAGTTGATAAGTATTAGGAGCACTTTCTTTCAAACAACGAGTAGTACTTACAGACTATAGATTGCCGGAGTGGGTGTTTAGAAAAACTGAAAAAGCACCTCCGGTTGAGCCAAAAAGGGTTTTTTTGCAAAAAAAAAAAAAAAAAAAAAAAAAAAAAAAAAAAGTTTCATTGCATCTCTTTTTAATTACAGTAAGACTTGTGCCACTGCAGCTGGAAAAAAAAAAGAAGAAAAGAAAAAAACAATGTACACAAGGAGGCACAAAATCTAAACAATGACATTTGTGTGTAGAAAGAGTTGGTGTAATGATTATATGGGTGGTTTTAGTTGAGACATGACATTCTTATCGCTCATTCCTTCACAAAACGAGTAATGCGCACTTAAAGCAAAGTTCTCGGAGAAAGCTTTTCGCCTATGAGTAACGCTTCATCCTATTCGCGAAGCTTTGGTTTGACTTCGACAGAAACATTTGTCCACATGTATGCTAAACTGTTGCTTTTTTTTTTGTTTGTTTGTTTGATTGTTCCCTAACTGAGCTGATTCTTACATTCATGGTTAAAAAAATAAAATAAAAATAAAAAAAAAAGCAACAGCTATAAGTGCTTAAAGGATTCCAGAATATGGGCATCGATGTCATCTAGAAGGCTTTTGAAAGAAGAGTGGAAAATAAGGTATTGGTCACACTTATGTCATGGTATTTATTGCTCAGTCCTAACACACACACACACACACGCACGCACACAAATGAAAGTAAGACATGTCTTTCTTTGCAACTTTTCCGACGACAACTCAGCCATGGGTATGCTTTTCAGTCTCCCAATATCTACAAATTTGAACTGCACCTGAAGATTTTTAATCTCTTGCCAGAACACTGTGCTTAACCCAAGTTGCCACCAGGAAACACAGTTAAACACCAATTTGTACGCTCTTCTTACTAAGGTGATCAGATAATAAGCCATGCTTCTCCAGGGAATGTGATTGTAGACGTAAAGTATCTTGCATTTCTCGGGATGGGCTTTTGTCTCAATCTTGCCAATCAAAAGACAAAATAAAAAGACTTACTAAAGGTAGCAGGGCAAAAGTCGGGCACCAGAGCCACGAGCTCTGTTGCTAGCTTCCGACGCTTATTTACAACGAGCGACACTTGCGCCAGGTTCTCACGCGGCTGGTCATCAAAGGTTCATCATTTGTCTCTCGAGTGGAGCTGCAGTCCAAGCCAGGAAAAGTCTATTGGCTTCTAAACCAGGTTTCCATATCCTGAAGAGGTCAGTTTTTTTTTTTAAAGCTTAGTCTTTTCGGTCCCTTGTAATATTCAAATTCAGCCACGTCTTGGCTTGGAAGTTCAGTACAAACTCAAAAGATGGCTGATGGTGAAAGAGTCCAGTCACTTTGTTTAGATAAAATGGCATCTTGGCCAGACTATTCTGGACTGTAAAAAAAAAAAAAAAAAAGGCCAAATCGAGGCAAATTCCAAAGTCAAAACAGTCTGCGAGAACGGTTCTGATTCCAGAAAAGAACAGACGAGGGCAATGAACGAAACGGGCGTATTTTTTTTTACAGCGTTATCTTTAAAAACAACAGTTACTTCTGTAGGGTAGTCATGCGTGTGCTGTATATCTAAAATGAGTTGTTTAACTTTACAGATTGACTATCAGGCAGCAGACTGTCTCCAAACAGCGAGACTTGCCATTAGTTCCTCCTCCTCTTCTCTGCCAGGTCATGGCCAGAAATAGCACTTTGTAAAACCGTTGTGTTTACATGTCCACTTAGATGTTTCGTCAAGGAGTAGCTGTAACGTCTCTGGGGAAGTTTTAGTTGGCGTTCGGGTGGCTGGGACAAAAAAAAAAAAAAAACCTTCTGTAACTGCAACAATTATGGGTAAGTGACTGTCGTTCGCGACGGGTTTTGAATGCCACCGGTTTTATGGTAAGACTCCGAGCTTACAGGTACACCTCCCGTCGTGTCAGCGTGCCACACGACGTGGGCTTGTACTCTCCGGTTGGCGCGAGGGGGATCTCCTCGGTAGGGTGGCCCAGCATCTCCTCGCCGCCTCCCGGCGAGCCGTAGGAAGGCGAGCCGAAGGCCTCGTAAGAAGAAGAGGAGGAGGCCATCTTCTTGTTGAGCAAGTTGCGGTTGCGGTCTCCCATCATGTGCGTGGTGGTGGGGTCTCCGTTGGCCATGGCGGCCATGGCGAGGGTCTCTTGGCTGCCCGGCTGCTCCGCGCTGCCGCTGCTGCTACTGCTCCCGCTGCTGCCATTGCCGGTCATGAAAGTGGAAAGCTTTGGTTGTTGTTGGGGGTTGGTGGTTGACTTGGACGGCCGTCGCTCGGGCGACGTGCGCACAGGCATCCAGCAGGAGTCCGAGTGGCCGTACTCGTTGCACTCCCGGGTGCACTTGCCAGTCATGGCTACGTCAGGCAAGGGCCGGGAGTCTGGAGGAAGCAAAAAAGAGAGAGGGGGGGGAGGGAAAGAAAAAGTGTCAATAACCGTAATTTATTTCAACAAAGTGAGAAAATTTCTCAGAAGTTTACAGCTAGCGCTACTGTTGTGGCATGTTTTGAGACATAGCTATTAAAAATACATTAGTCTGTATGTTTTTGTCCCCTAATGAGGTCATTACCACATCTAAATGTTAATGAAGATAAAAAAAAGCAATAATAAAAAAAAAAAACAGGCCACAATGGTTAGGGACCCATGTTTGGAGCTCTTTGTGTTACCAGTGAGTACAACACAGCTCCCACTAACAAAGCTGCATTTATTTTCATGCAGAACGCATACCTCATGACAGCAAGAATAACAAAAAAGACCCACAACGAAAAGAAGACACTACTTGGCTACGACGACAGCCTCAAACTAAAAATAAACAACAGAAAAAAAGTGGCGTGAATCAGAGTTGAAATAATGTCATGCTTCAAAACACATTTTGTGCTTGAGAAGGGAAAAGGGGTTCGGGGCCGCAGTGGTGAAAAGAAGGGGAAGAGGTCAGTTTGCGTTTCTCATGTAAGATTTAAGATGCGCTGTTGCTCTGTCTTGCGAAATGGAAACACCACCGACCCCCTCCTTTTTTTTTTTTTTGGCCTCCATGTTTTTTTAGCTGATTGACAGACGACAATCACACGCTCATCTAAGTAGCTTAATAGCTTTGCGGGGCTCAAGCGCTCAAATATCCTCTTAAATCCACTATTAAGTGGCCTTAACCAATTACCTATCTGAGCGCTAGTCTCAGATTAGCAACGTCTTCTGCATTATTGCGGAAAGCAAATTATGCGCTTACAATGCCACTGCTGGGACAACACGCTAGCCTCACTGTCAGACAATAGAACATGTGACAGATATTTCGAACTGATGAGTTGACCGAACATAACATCGTACGTTAAAAAAAAAAAAAAAAAGGGAAGGAAAAAAAAAACATGGGGGTCTTTGCCAAAGCCTTAATGCTTTTCAAATGAGACAGAGCTGGAGGAATCATTGTTACGGGTAGTGCTGTGTTAGATGCTGTTTCCTCATGACCTTATGAAGCAAACTATGGGAAACCAAAATCAAGCAAAAGCGAGGGTGATTGCAAATCAAGCCAGGCATGCCTTTGCTCAGAAAACAAAACAAAAAACAACAGAGTTTGGACCGTAGCTTACTTTTAATGCTCTTTATCTCCTGCAAAAGAAACAAAAAGTAGAACAGAAATCACTTTTAAATTCTTTATTTCTGCAGTATTAAAAAATATGTCGATCACACAACAACAACAAAAAAAAAAGGAACAAAAAAAAAAAAAAAAAGGTTTCCCAAAAAAAAACAAGGACTTGAGGAAACACAGACCCCGAAAAAAGGACG